ATTACAGCTGTGCTAGGGCTCCTTGATGCCAGACTTGGTTGAATGCTGCCTGATGTCAAGCGCTGTCACTCTCACTGCACTTCTGGAATTCAGCTCCTTTGTCCATATTTGAACAAGGCTGTAATAAGGTCAGGAGCTGAGTGGCACTAGTGGAACCCAAAACTGGGTGTTGCTGAGCAGGTGCTGCTTGATAACACCGCTGATGATTCCCCCTATTACTTTACTGATGATTGAAAGTAAATTGATGGGACAGTAATTGGCCGGGTTGGATTTGATCTGCTTTTTGTGTACAGGATATGCCTGGGCAATTTTCCACATTATTGGGCAGATGCCAGTGTTGTAACCATACTGGAATAGATTGGCAAGTAGAGCAGCAGGTTCTGGAGCACAAGTCTACAATACTATTGCCAGAATGTTGTCAGGACCCATAGCCTTTGCAGTATCCAATGTATCCAACCGTTTCCTGATATTACGCAGACTGAATCTAAGTGGCTAAAAGTTGGTATCTGATGTCAAGACCACTGAAACAGGCTGAGGTGGCTCATCTACTTGAAATTTCTGGCTGATGAATACTGTGAAAGCTTCAGCCTTATCTTTTGCACTGATGTGCTGGGCTCTTCCATCATTGAGAACAAGGGTACTTTTGGAGCCGCATCTTCAACTGAGTTGTTTAATTGTCCACCACTATTCACGACTGGATGTGGCAGGACTGCAGAGCTCTGATCTGATCCGTTGACTGTGCGATCACTTAGCTCTATCTATCATATGCTGCTTATGCTGTTTGGCATGCAAGTAGTCATGTTTGATAGTTCCACAAAGTTGACAACTCATTTTTAGGTATTCCTGGTGCTGTTCCTGGCATGCCCTTCTGCACGCTCAACTGAATCATGGTTGATTCAAACGCAATGATTGAGTGGGGACTACACCAGACCATGAATGTCCTGGAGTATGATTCTGCTGCTGTTGATGGCCCGCAGCACCTCGTGGATGCCCAGTATTGAGTTGCTGGATCTGTTCGAATTCTGCCCCATTTAGCACAGTGATACCACTCAACACAATGCAGAGTATGGATTTTGTCTCTGTGTGGTGGTCACTCTTACCTTCATGAATAGATGCATCTGCAGTCAGCAGATTGCTAAGGACAAGGTCAAGTATGTTTCTCACTCTTGTTGCTTACCTCACCATTTGCCGCAGACCCAGTCTAACAGCTATGTCCCAACCGACTTGAACAGAAGTGCTGGTGTTGAGCCAATCTTGGTGGTGGACATTGAAATTTCCCATCCAGAATACAACCTGTGCCCTTGTAACCCTCAGTTCTTCCTCCAACTGTTTTTCAACTTGATGGAGTACTGATTCATCAGATGAATATAGAGTCAGAGCTGTACAGCACGGAAACAGACCCTTTACCCCAACTAATCTACGCTAATCAGACATCCTAAATTAAACAAGTCCCATTTGCCAGCATTTGCTTTCATGTACCCATCCAGATACCTTTTAAATGTTGTAATTGTACCAGCCTTCATCACTTCCTCTGGTAGGTCATTCCAAATTCCAAATTCACACCACTAGATCAATGCTAGGTGGTCCATCTGGTTTCATTTCTTTCTTGATACTTTGTAGCGATTGATACAGCTGAGTGGCCATTTCAGGAGGTAGTTGAGAGTCAATCACATTGATGTGGCTCTGGAGTCACATGTAGGCCCGGCCAGGTGAGGATAGCAGATTTCCTTCCCTGTAGGACATTAGTGATCCAGGTGGGTTTTTCCAACAGTTAACAATGGTCATCAGAAGATCTGTATTTCCAGATTTTCTTCAAATTGAATTTAAAAATCTACTATTGCAAGATTTGTACTCAGGTCCCCAGAACATTAGTTGAGTTTATGGATTAATAGTTTCGTGATAATATACTAGGCCATTGGTTAATGACGTTTATATTGTGTTTGGGCTTCTCCAGTTGTTGTCCAGGAACACCTTTCTCACGATTAGCTGGACTGACCAGATGTTGCAAAAGGTTCAGCTTGCCTGGTTTATAGTCAACTCATACTCTTATTGAGTATCAAAAGCTCTATTCAAGTGGTTTACTATGTGATTTATTGAACAAGTTTACCAGCGGTCAATGATCTGTTATCACTTCAAACTTACCTACATTTTCACCTCTATTTGTATGGAAGATAATCCAGGCAATTGAGAGTGCTTCTCACTGTGTGAGAATCACATTGTTCTACAGGTGTTAGCGATCTGTTTGTTGTCTTTATGATTTATGGGTTCTGCTTTGTCTTTTCGTACAAGAACTGCATTTAAGCCAACTAGACTTGCATCCATGACTTTCTGGGTAGTTTTTTCAGGATTGAAACAGGCATTTACGCAAATTACTGACAACATGTTGTTTAAGCATGTACAGCTTGTTTATGTAATAAAGTCAATTCCCTTTTGTCAGAGTGCATGGGGAAGCAGACAGTTCAGTGATGTCAGGGCTGAAGTGACACAGAACAATACATGTTGATTCTTACAGACTCTGGGTTTCTGTATGTTTGCAGGATCTACAGCATTTGCAATTGTTGCAGACAAGTATGTAGGCTTTGAGTTCACTTTCAGTATGACAATAGACGAAAATGTCATTATGCTCAGCGTACCCATCAAGTCCTCGAAACACAGACTACATTATGTGTTGAAACAGGTCAGCTGCTGAATTCACTAAAATGTTGCAAGTTGGTGGTGGGGTAGGACGCCCCAGCCAGAACTCGTCTGCCCCACCTCCTCTTCTCCTTCTCCTTCTTTTTTCTTTTTCTTTCCTCCATGTGTGTTTTCTTCTTCTTCTTCTCCTTTTCTTCCCTTTGACTCTCGGCTTTCGACAATGACTCCTGGCCTCCACAACCTCCGGTGAGGAGCAACGATCCCCAGTCTACGATGACAATTCCTGGCCTCTGGCAAGCGACGACTCCTGGCCTCTGGCGAGGACTCCTGGCCTGGCACAGTAGCCTCCTGGTGTAGAGTGGCATCCTCCCAGCGTGGCATGCAGCCTCCCAGCATTAGTGTGACGACCTCCTGACCTGGCGCAACAGCCTCCTCCCGTACGGGCCTTTCAGTGTGGTGACCTTTTGGCCTCCACCTGTGGAGCCAGGGCCCGATGCTGACTGGAAACTAGGTGCCATCATGGTCTGGCACTGCTGCCTCACAGCGCCAGGGTTTGATTCCACCCTCGGCCAATTGTCTGTGTGGAGTTTGCACATTCTCCCTATGTCTGTGGGGGTTTCCTCCAGGTGCTCCAGTTTCCTCCCACAGTCCAAAGATGTGCAGGCTAGGTGAATTGGCCATGCTAAATTGCCCGTAGTGTTCAGGGATGTGTAGATTAGGTGGGTTATAGGGGGATGGGTCTGGGTGGGACGCTCTGTGGGTCGGTGTGGACTTGTTGGGCCGAAGGGCCTGTTTCCACATTGTAGGGATTCTATGAACAAAAGATGCTCTGCTATAAGTACATATTGTGTTTAATCAATTGAATTCAGTTTTAATGAGATAACAGAGAGGGTTGGTGAGTGTTGTGAGCTAACGTGATGCATATGGATTTCCAAAGATGCTTTGTAACTGTCACATAATGGACTTGTCAGCAAAATTTAAGCACAGAATTAAAAGGACAATGGCAAGAAGTTGGCTTTTACAGAGAGGAAGTACATAATCTAGGTCCTCCTTCCATATTGCAATCATTCTCTCATTCGATTCTTTGATTCTACACATTTCCTTGCACAAATCTAAGAAAAAAAATTCCTCTGAAGTTTAATACTTGTTTAACAAAAATATTTTAAAAGATGATCTCACAGCCAACATCAGTCATCAACTCAGACTGCTGACATGCAACTCTTGTGACGCTCTGATTGCCATGCAAAGAGAAACTAAACCCTGCTCCAGTGTTCCATTTTGAACTGTCACAACAATCAAATTACACTGAAAATTGCAGGAAACTGAATAAATCAGCCACATTATTGAAATAATGACACTGCTTAATCTCTTTTCAGCATCAAATTTTGTTCAAACTTAATCCCAAAATTGCATTTGCTTGCAAACGTCAAAGGGATGTTTAATTTTGCTAAATCTAAAATAACCACATTAAAAGACTACAATTATGTGCAAGAGTAAATAGGAATACCCTGAATTTGTATTTTTTTTTCCTTTCCTGGTTGTTTTTGACAATATTATTATTAATACTATCATTCAGAAGTACACAGAATTTATAGCACAGAAAATAGCTCTCTGACTGACTGATCCATATGGTATTTATACTTAACAAAAGTCACATTTAATACTCTTATCTTTTCCCACCTCGTATCAATCTATTCCCTTTTTCTTCCATGTCAGCATCGAGCCCCCAAAAATGCATCAATACTGACTACTTAAGCCAGTGGCAGCAAGCTGCATATTCAATTCCTGTTTAAAGAAATCCTTCCTCTGTTTTTATTTGTGTTTGTGGTTATTTTATATTTCTTCTTCCCTGTTCTGGTCTCAAGTATAACATAAAACAGCTGTCTCACGTCCAAACATCTTCATTATTGCAAAAAAATCTCCTCTAATTTTCTTTCCTGCAAAGAGTTTCAGCCTTCTCATTTTCTTTTCAAATGATTGCGACTTCTCAAATCCAGTAATATTTTAGTAATCATTACTCCACTTTCTCTAATGCCTCAGTGTCCTTTTGCGATATAATTATGCAAACTTATTACTGCCTTCCTATTTTTATATAATTACTTATTAATTTGTCTGAAGCAGGATTGCTTTTGTAAAGCTGTTAGTAAATCCTAAAGTAGCTAACATGCGCAATTGAATTTACATTTCACAGACATTCCTGTTAGGTAAAACCTTTTAAACATAAATTTTCAGGAATTGATTTGCACTCAGTCTTTGGTAAACACCTACGTGTGCAAAATAGGATAGTTAAAAACACAGTATGCATGAGTCTAAAGACAAGCAAATTAGATACTGCTAATGTTACAATGGAAAAAAAGAGAAATTACCTTTGGTATTCCAGCCACGTCCAGCCAGTTTTGAAAAATAACTTCCATGGACAATCCCTGACTGTGAATGAATTAAAAGGAGAAACCTGAGCAAAATATCAATTCATACAAATATTTTTTAAAAAGTAAGAGAAATATCTGAAGTCTTTATACAATCTAACACAACTGGCTACTCAGCGGGTGACAAATGTTGACAGACAATAATCCAAGAAAAAATTAAGAGGCACTTCAAAAATTATGGGTTGATAAAAGAAGAGAGTTGTGTGCACTGCCATCTGTATCGTTTAGTGTATGGGTTCTTCAGGGGCTTACATGGTCTAATATGCACGGGGGTGGCCTCCTTCTTGGCTACCAAGGGGCTTACATGGTCTAATATGCACAGGGGTGGCCACCTTCTTGGCTAACAAGAAGGGTTTTTCAGAGTAAAACAAGATTCTCAACACCCATTCACTGGTTATAAGAATAGGCTTCAAGTTTCAACAAGGACTCTTAGGTGGGCTTAGCCTTAGGTCTGAGTCCTGTTAGATCCTACTTTTTACTTTTCCACTATGTCTTCATGGGATTATCACAATGGGTGGTACTCACCGCATAATCAAGAATTATTCCTTTCAGATCATTCCAGATCCGTACAGAACAAAACCCATATTTATTGAAGAGAAATTTTATTGGAATGAACTAACTTAATTGCACGTTTTGATGAAGTTATGGAGTGGAGCGTTGCAGGTAATATGAATATGGATAAGTCATCACTGCACAGCTGTTCGTAAGTTTTTGCATATAAGTTACCATGCAGCATAGCAATGAAAAGAAATTAAAAGCAATTCACTTAAACAAATCATCTGCACATTCAAAAAAATTGGACAGTATATTGAGCCACAGTTCCTTTAGATATATATTAATGGCCTAAACTTGGGAAATCATAGCAGAATTTCAAGTTCTGCAAATTAAGAATTTCAAATTAGCAAGTATCACATAACTCAGAAATGTTGTAGGCAGTGAGAAGGATAATAGCAGACTTCTAAAATACATACACTGTGAAATATGTTTATACAATGCAGAGAAAGATGAATAATTTTGGCAGGAAAAATGAGATGACGTCACATGAACTAACTAGGACAATTTTAAAGGGGAAGCAGAAAGTGATAAACCAGACAATCTATGTAGGCAGTTCTTTGAATGTGACAAGACTAGTTTAGAAGACTGTTCAAAGGCGTACAGGATTCTAGGTTTGATACAGTGTACAAAAACAAAGATACTGCCCAAGAAGATTGTGGCCAGTTTTGGACACTGCACTTTATAAAATATATTGAGGCTTTAGGGAGGCTGCAGAAGGGATTTATGAAAATGTTATCAGAGATGAAAGGCTACAAATTGTTGGATAGAGAAACAGGAATTGCTCTCCAAAGAACAAATAAATCTAACAAGAATTTGACTGAGCAACTCAAAATCATAAAGCGTTTTAACAGAGTAATCAAGAAGAAACTGTTTCCAATTGCAGAAGGGTCCATAACCACAGGACTCAGACCTAAGAGTTGATTAGCAAAAGAAACTAAGGCAACATGAAGAAAAATTGTCTTACATAGCAAGTTTTGCTGTTCTAGAATGTACTGTCAGAAAAGGTAATGGGAACAGGCCCAACAATAACTTTGAAAAAGAAATTAGATAAATGGTTGAAGGAGAAAAATTGAAGAACTATGGGGAGGAGCAACAGTGGGAACTAAACAGATGGGCATCATGGCCATACTCCTCTTGTGCTGTTTCATTCTTTAATCTTATGAAAATACAGAGCAGATATCAAAACAAGTATTCAAATTATTTTGTAATGGAAAAGATTAATTTGCTAAACAATAAATGGACATTAATAAAAGGCGTTACAATGATAATGGAAACTTCTTCCTCAATTTCTGTCATTCCCCAAGTACAATTTTCTCCCTTCCCAAAGCCTTATGGTGAACATCATGTTTTAACAGAGCAAATCAAATGCATTTTCTACATACCTTCTAAGTTCTGAAAAGTTCTCCATAAACATGTACAGGAAATCCTAATTTTGAAATAACAACAGCTGTGACAACAGGAATTACAATCCAACAACACACAGACTTCTGAACTATTGTTAAGACAAAAACAAAAACAAAAGTTGCTGGAAAAGCTCAGCAGGTCTGGAAGCATCTGTGAAGAAAAAATTCTTCTGAGTTCTGAGGAAGGGTCTCTGGACCCAAAATGTTAACTCTGATTTTCTCTTCACAGATGCTGCCTGACCCGCTGAGCTTTTCCAGCAACTTCTGTTTTTGTTTCTGATTTACGGCATCCACAGTTCTTTTGGTTTTTATGAAGACAGTTTATTTCAGCATGCTTAAATCTGTGCTCACTTGCCCTTCACAATATAAGCTTTGATGTAGAGTTGTATTAATACATTGCTGCTTGCATATAAATGAAGAAATAGGGAACTTCATCTACAGTCTTCCACCAACTATTAGGGAATTTCCAATTGTCTTCACAGCATCATTAAAAATAGATTAGGGAAAAGTGTCTAGTGTCCTCATGGGTAAAACATAAAACAAAATGTTATTATTCATGTGCTTTAATGATTATTAATTCCATATCTCACAGTTACAGAATTGGAGTGCTGCAGAACATACTTATAAATAATTTTCACAAAACATACACACCTGAGAAAGTATCAGTTGTCCATGAAATCTCTCCACAAATAACCTGAAAAACTTCAGAAATTCTTTTTGTCCAACTCTGTTCTCAAGATAATGAAGGACAAAATAACCCTTTGAACAAAAAATGATTGTAAGATCAAAGAGAATCTTAATCGTGATAGACAATAACAGGATTGTAACTTCAAGACATGTAGTATGCATACCTATTACCTAAGCATCAAGTAAGGTTTCAGCACATCAAACAGAATCTGATCACCATCTTGATTATCATCTTTCCCTATATAGTTCCACTCAAATGACTGAACAATTACATTTTTTGTTTTGGCAACAAAAGAAGACCACTAACACCTTCTTAGCACTATACACTCTAAACCATGAGTAAATCTTGAACAAAAACGAAGTTGCTGGAAAAGCTCTGCAGGTCTGGCAGCATCTGTGAAGGAGCAAACGGAGCTAACGTTTCGGGTCCGGTGACCCTTCCTCAGAACCGCATGAGTAAATCTTACATCTGTTCTAATCTAGTCCACTTCCCTTGTTAATATAAATGTATTAATTCTGCATTTCAAACAATTCAGCATGAAAATGTTTCAACTTGTGTGAAGATTCAAAATAGATATAATTCTAAGGAATATCTGAGGATTTAGCAAGAGCTTCTTCATTGCCCTAAGGTCACTTTCAGATAACATTGAGATACGTAAATGCTTTAAAAAAACGTAATTATTGTCAACGTATGTGCCAATGCAAATAATGTGTTTTAATAAAAACTAAGATATTTGAAAGGTACAAAAATAATAAAATCAAATCCCAATGCTAGATTTACACTAGAAAAAAATGACTGAAATATTTCTGTTTGACATAACCCCATAATTGAAGTCCCTTCGTACGGTAAACTGTATAGGAAGCAGAAAATAGACAAGAAAGTAGAATGATAAACAAATGAAACAAAATATTAATCAAAGATGACAGAAATGTGGCAAACTTTTCAGCGATATGTGAAGTGAAATAACATTCCGCACAGTAATCAATGAAGTCAAAATTTCTTTCAAAGGTTGAAATGCAACAGAACACTTCCTCATATAGAAGGCAATACAGCAGTACTGTATGTTACTCCAACATAACATATGAGCAACATAAACACATCTGTGCTATAAAGAGGTGTTGATAGGGAAAGTGCAATGGATGACAGTGTCTTTGGTTGTAGTGAGTGCACTAGTTAGGATTCAACTTTGAATTGAATGGAAAGCAAAGTAGATCATTCAGCCCACTGAGCCATAATTCAATAGGATTATGGCTGATCTTAACTCCATTTACTTGTTTTGTTCCATATCCCTCAATACCCCTATATAACAGCTATGAAAAATTTTAATTGATCCAACAACCAGACTTTCTTGGGGGATGCAGTTCAACAATCCAATGTTGGAAAGTGAATTTACATGGATGTCAGCACAGAAAAGGACTTCAATGTGATCTTCTCCTCTGTCTCTCTATTCATTTGTGGAATGTGGGCATCGCTAGCTGGCCAGCATTTCTTACCCATCCCTGGTACCCCTTGAACAGGTGGTGGTGAGCTGTCTTCTTGAACTGCTGCAGTCTTCCTGCTGTGGGTTGACCCACAATGCTATTAGGGAGGGAATTGCAGGATTCTGGCCTAGTGACCAGGAATGGCGATATATTTCCAAGTCAAGATGGTGAGCGACTTGGAGGGGAACTTGGAGGTGGTGGCGTTCCATATGTCTGATGCCCTTGTCCTTCTATGTGGAAGTGGTCATAGGTTTGGAAGGTGCTGTCTAAGGATCTTTGGTGAACTTCTGCAGTGCATCTTGTAGATAGTACATGCTGCTGCTACTGAGCATCGGTGGTGGAGGGAATGCATGCTTGTGGATATAGTGCCAACCAAGTGGGCTGCTTTGACCTGGATGGTATCAAGCTTCTTGAGTGTTGTTGGAACTGCACTCATCCAGGCAAGTGGGGAGTATTCCATCACACTCCTGATTTGTGCCTTGTAGATGGTGGGCAGGCTTTGAGGAGTTAGGAGATGAGTTACTCGCCGCAGTATTCCTAGCTTCTGGCCTGCTCTTGTAGCCACTGTGTTAATGTGGTGAGTTCAGTTGAGTTTCTAGTCAATAGTAACCCTCAGGATGTTGATAGTGGGGCATTCAGTGATGGAAACACCATTGGATGTCAAGGGACGGTGGTTAGATTGTCTCTTATTGGTGATGGTCATAGCCTGGCATTTGTGTGGCGCAAATGTCACTTGCCACTTGTCAGCCCAAGCCTGGATATTGTCCAGATCTTGTTGCATATGAATATGGACTGCTTCAGTATCTGAGGAGTCAAGAATGGTACTGAACATTGTATAATCATCGGCGAACATCCCCACTTCTGACCTTATGATGGAGGTAAGGTCATTGATGAAGCAGCTGAAGATGGTTGGGGTAAGGACACTACCCTGAGGAACTCCTGCAGAGACGTCCTGGAGCTGAGATGATTGACCTCCCACAACCACGACCATCTTCCTGTGTGTCAGGTATGACTCCAACCACCAGAGAGTTTGCCCCCGATACCCATTGATTCCAGTTTTGCTAGGGCTCCTTGAGGCCATACTTGGTCAAATGCAGACTTGATATCAAGGGCTGTCACTCTCACCTCACCTCTGGAATTCAACTCTTTTGTCCATATTTGAACCAAGGCTGTAATGAGGTCAGGAGCTGAGTGGCCCTGGCAGAACCCAAACTGGGTGTCACTCAGCAGGTTATTTCTGAGCAGGCGCTGCTTGATAGCACTGTTGATGACACCTTCCATCACTTTACTGATGATCGAGAGTAGACTGATGGGGTGGTAATTGGCCGGGTTGGATTTGTCCTGCTTTGTGTGTACAGCACATACTTGGGCAATTTTCCACATTGTTGGTAGATACCAGTGTTGTAACTGGACTGGCTAGGGGATCAACAAGTTCTGGAGCACAAGTCTTCAGTACTATTGCTGAAATGTTGTCAGGGCCCATAGCCTTTGCTCTAGTGTCTCCAACCGTTTCTTAATATCACGTGGAGTGAATCGAATTGGCCGAAGAATGGTATCTGTAATGTTGGGGACCACTGGAGGAGGCTGAGATGGATCATCTACTCAACGCTTCTGGCTGAAGATTGCTGCGAAAGCTTCAGCCTTATCTTTTGCACTGACGTTCTAGGCTCTTCCATCATTGAGGATGGGGATATTTGTGGATGCTCCTCCTCCAGTGAGTTGTTTAATTGTCCACCACCGTTCACGACTGGATGTGGCAGGACTGCACAGCTTAGACCTGATCTGTTGGTTGTGGGATTGCTTAACTCTGTCTATCACTTGCTGCTTTTGCTGTCTGGCGTGCAAGTAGTCCTGTTTGGTGGCTTCACCAGGTTGATACTTCATCTTCAGGTATGCCTAGTGCTGCTCCTGACATGCCCTCCTGCACTCTCCACTGAACCAGGGTTGATCCCCTGGCTTGATGGTAACGGTTGAGTGGGGGATATACCGGGCCATGAGGTTACAGATTGTGCTGGAATTTAATTCTGCTGCTGTTGATGGCCCACAGCGCCTCATGGATGACCAGCCTTGAGTTTCCAGATCTGTGTGAAGTCTGTCCCATTTAGCACGGTGATAGTGCCACACAACATGATGGAAGTTATTCTCAAAGTGAAGGCGGGACTTCGTCTCCACAAGGACTGTGCACTGGTCACTCTCACTGATACTGCCATGGATAGATGTAACTGCAGCTGGCAGATTAGTAAGGATGAGATCAAGTATGTTTTTCCCTCTTGTTGGTTCTCTCACCACCTGCCGCAGACCCAGCCTAGCAGCTATGGCCTTTAGTACCCAACCAGCCCGATCTGTAGTACTGCTGCCGAACCACTCTTGGTGGGGGACATTGAAATCCTCCACCCAGAGCACATTTTGAGGCCTTGCCATCCTCAATACTTCCTCTAAGTGTTGTTCAACACGTACTGATTCATCAGCTGAGGGAGGACAGTATGTGGTAATCAGCAGGATGTTTCCTTGCCCGTGTTTAACCTGAAGCCATGAGACTTCATGGGGTACGGAGTCAATGTTGAGGACTCCTAGAAAAATACCCTCCCGACTGTATACTACTGTGCTGCCGTCTCTGCTGGGTCTGTCCTGCTGGCGAGACAGGACATATCCAGGGATGGTGATGGTGGTGTCTGGGACATTGTTTGTAAGGTATGATGCTGTGAGTATAACTATGTCAGGCTGTAGCTTTACTATTCTGTGAGACAGCTCTCCCAATTTTGGCATAACCCCCAGATGTTAGTGAGGAGGACTTTGCAGGGTCGACAGGGCTGTTTCTGCCGTTGTCTTTTCCAGTGCCTAAGTCGATGCCAGGAGATCTGTTAACACCTATCATCATGATCCTTATCTGAAGGATGCAATTTGAGCAAGTTTCTGCAATCAATTGAAATGGAATACATTCAAGTCAGTACCTATAAGATTGCTGGGTAGAATTAATGTTTATTAAAGTTCTTACCTTTAGATAATGGACTTGCATAAAAAATTTTCCTGCATTTAGACCATGTTTGACAATTGTTGACCCAGAGTCACTCACTGCACGAGTATTCTGTTTGTTAGGTCTGTAAAATGAAAACAATTCCATAAAAACATCACAAAATATAGTAGGGTATCAATTCTCTATCAGAAATCTGCAAGCCATTAGCAAAGTTAGAGTAAGCATCACATATTTGCGGTGATTCTGGGAGACTAATGCTGGATTGTGCAGTCTCATGGAGGCATTTTCCAGTCCTGCAAAGTCCAGTGGGAAATGAAAAGGCCCTTCTGTAAAAGCTGTACACAATTTTCTAGGATGAGTTATTAGAATCTTACAATGGTATAGCACAGGAGGCCACCTTTGGCCCATCAGTTCTACACTGCTTCTTTAAAAGAACCATCTGGTTAGTCCCATTCGCCAGCTCAACATTTTTCTAATTCAAATATTTATCAAATTTTCATTCAGACCACCTTAGCTGACAGAGCATTACAAATCTAAAGGTCACAATGCAAAAAAGAATCCTTGTATCACCTCTTTCACCAATCACATTAAATCTATACATATGGGATTTCTGCCTTCTAACATTCAAAACTGTTTCATTGTATTAACTCTATCCGATTAGTTCATGATTTCAAAAACAGCAAATCTCCTCTTAGCTTTTTCTGGTGCAAATCTATCCAAATGACAGTGATCCTTCATTGCTGGAACCTCACTTGTATATCTCTTCCATACTCTCTCCATAATCTTCCTGAAGTGTGGTGCCCAGACTGGACACAAAATTCCAGCTGGGGGCCAAACTAATGTTTTATATAAATGTGGTATAACTTGCTGTTTTCTGGAGTCTTTGCCTCAGTTTATAAAGCCGACAATCCAATATGCTTTATTAACAGTTTCATTAATCTGTCCTGCAACCTTCAAAGATTTGAGCACAAGCACCCTCAGGTTCTGCTCCTTTCCTGTACCAGCAGCATGTTCATCTCTTCTTGAATAGTTTTATGATCTTCCTCAATATTGACTACATTTCCAAGTTTTGTCTCATTTGTAAATTTCAACATTGTGCCCTGTATCTGTAGCAACCAATCATATATGTCAGAACAGTGGGACACATTCAAGGAGGAAACAGGGAGAGTACAGGGCTACAATTTCCAAAAACAAAAGGGTGGGACCAACAAATTCTGTGAACTGTGACTGTCAAAGGATATACAGGATTGGATAAAGAGATGAAGGAAGGCTCATGGCAGATACTGACGTTTCAAAATAGCAGAAGCCTTAGAGGAGTACAGAAGGTGCAAGGAGAAACAAGGACAACTAGGGAAAGAATAAAGCCCATTAAGGTCCACTGTGCCAATTTGTGTCTGGACCCAGAGGATAGAGGTAGAGTTCTAAATGAATACATCATGTCAGCATTCACTAGTGAAAGATACAATGTGGATATAAAAATCAGGGCGCAGGACTGTATTATACTTAAAGAAGTTAACACAGACAGAGAGGAAGTTCTGAGTGATCTAGCAAGCTTAAAAGCAGATAAGTCTTCAGGGACAGATGAAATGCATCCCAGGCTGTTGCATGAGGCAAGGGACGAAATAGCAGGGGCGCTGGGAATAATTTTCAATTTCTCTCTCTCAACAGGAGCAGTGCGATTGGACTGGAGGACAGCCAATATGATATCATTGTTCAAATAGTGAGCAAGTGATAAACCATGAAATGTCAATCTAACCTCAGTGATGGGGAAACCATTGGAAGCAATACTGAGGAACAGAATTAAATGCACTTGGCGATGCAGTGGTTGACCAAGAATAGTCTGCATAATTTTGCTAAGAGGAAGTCATGTCTGACCAACTTGATTTAATTTTTTTGAATAGGTGACCAGGTATG